TTTTTTTTTTTTTTAAATCCAAATCTTTAATCTCTCAGGGTATTTGTAAAAGAAGAGGAATTTGATTCTTTAGTTTTGTGAAAGTGAAAGCCTCAGTGAGTCGAGGACAGAGTGAGACTCTCTCTCTCTCTCAAAAAAAAAAAAACTCCATAAAAAAAAAAAAAAAAAAAAAAAAAAAAAAATTGAAGTTTTGTTTTTTATATGTAAATCCTAATTCATCTGGATGTTTAGATAGCATGAGTTAGGTTCCAATCTTAGCTTTTGACATGTGGATAAGCATTTGTTTTCAATCTCTTTGTTGAACACTCCCTCCATTCCCCACGATATGTTATGCCACCCTAGTCATGTGAGACAGTTCTACGGATGCGTGGTCTGTATCTGGGCTTTTATTCTCTCCTGTTAGTCCTCTTATCTATCTCTGCCAACACCACACTGTTTTTTTTTGTTTTGTTTTGTTTTGTTTGTTTGTTTTTTTGAGACGGAGTCTCGCTCTGTCGCCCAGGCTGGGAGTGCAGTGGCCGGATCTCAGCTCACTGCAAGCTCCGCCTCCCGGGTTCACGCCATTCTCCTGCCTCAGCCTCCCGAGTAGCTGGGACTACAGGCGCCCGCCACCTCGCCCGGCTAGTTTTTTGTATTTTTTAGTAGAGACGGGGTTTCACCGTGTCAGCCAGGATGGTCTCGATCTCCTGACCTCGTGATCCACCCGTCTCGGCCTCCCAAAGTGCTGGGATTACAGGCTTGAGCCACCGCGCCCGGCCAACACCACACTGTTTTTAAGAGCCCTCAGCCAAATTAGAGTTCCAGTACCAGAGCAGCTAGCAACACTGCCCGAGCGGGGTGGAGGTTTACAGTATGTTTTCCACAGGATACTCCTTTTCCCTGGGGCACAGCCTAATGCCTAGTCGTCCAACCCACAACCAGGGAGTCCCTCACACAGGAAGTTTGCTTATAGTGGCAGATGCTCTGGATTCAGAAAAGGTTGTGTAAAAAACGTTAAAAAGAAAAGGAAAATATATTGGCAGATGCCCTGGTGGTTCTTATCAGATCTGTGTCCAATTTGTGTCTGCCTGACCATTACTTGGACTCTGGGAGCCATCGAGGTAGTCTCTGGTTCTTCAGATAGAGGGTGCAAATTTAATACACCCCACAGTAAAAAATATGTTCACTAACTTATTACTTATGAATCCTGGACAGGGAGGGTGCCGTGAGTCAGGAAGGCAGTGCTCCATCCTGGGGTCATGAATGCAAAGTCCGGAAGAGAGAGAGAGAAAGAGAGAAACTCCACAACTAACGGTAGATATAAGGGAATGGGGTGTGAGTCACTTAAAGTTTGCAGGCAAATACCTGAATTGTCCCTTTAAAGGAATCAGTGGCAAAGCAGAAAGCCCACTGGGCTGGACTGGAGAGATGCCTCTAAGTTCCTAACTCTGGGCCCCTGTTTGAGACATTTGGGTGTGCCGGTCTATTTCTATGACTAGACAGCAACCTTTTCTGTGTGTTCCTGTTATAACTGACCCTGTGATGCCTGGGCATTTGACCTCGTGTTTGGTGATGAGTACTGTTTAAATAGTGGAGACATTG